CGTGAGGACTATGGAGCGGCGTCAACTTAAACATAAAAATCATAAAAAAAAATTAAATTTAAACACAACCACAGAACTTTGGACCAATGAATTAGAAACTACATACCTTATACCTATAATATAATAATATTATGATTATCGAGGTAGATTAGAAATCATTGGATTTGCCAATTAGGTATAGAATATATTAAATACAAGGTTTGGTATTTTTTAATCGAATTTTAAATCAATTTTATTATATTATTTGCCGGAGTTCTATGAATGACTATGAATTTAATTATTGAACATACCAATAGGTGCATACTAATAAGAAATTGTTGTCGGCAATATGAAACCTGTTTTAAGTTACCGCCATCCTAAGAATAAAAAAAATTACTGGTTTTTGGAACAAATATATTTAGTCTTTTTCATTTTGAATGTGACGTCACCGTTGGGGGCAGTACAATACATCAAGTCTAAAATTTGGAGGGTGGATTTTACTTTCTATATTAGTTAAGTGGTACATTATATCTATAGTATGGTTCTATGAGATTCACTTTTATTTTAGGAGGTAAGCGGAGTTGTTATAATGATTGTTCTAGTTTTCAAATATTCCCAAAATTCTCAAAAATTATAGCATGTTTAGAAAATCCTAATATAAATATTTAATGAAAAATTAAAGTCCCTACGGAAATTTATTTTGTTTTTGCAATGAAAAAAACAAAATTGATTTTAACGTTAACTGTTTTGCGTAAGAATGCGTGAAAAATCGGTTCTTCTACGCATTCCACGCGACACATAATATAACTCGATAGCAGGGTGTTCAGTGTTGATGCGCCGAATCGGTGTGGTCTCTTGCTGGGCAGTTAGGTACTTGACTGCAGTGGGCAGTGGTGGTTTCAGGAACTTTCAATGGAATGTGTTGTGCCAGTTGTGGATAATTTCTAGAAACATGTGTAGGGGGGTCATCGGCTCACAAAAAATACGATCAAAGGGGGAAGGGGTTAAACTCCGTTAGTACGCACATGCTTGACTGATTGACAAACTAAACTTAATAACAAAAAATCCCAGCTTGGTGACGACAATATTATAGACGAATACGTTAATTGATTTCCAGTTCTCTCGAGAAATATTTGACTGAGCTACTGCTCATTATGGTCGGCAGGCACGTATTTAGGAGGAGGCACCGGGAAAGTGTACCTCGTTGTCAGAGAGGAAAATGTTTTTCTATGGAACAACATTTTGTGTAACAAAGTTATATCTTACAGATTTACTGTTCTAGATTCTGATCATAAAATGAATAGGTTATGTGTTTTTTTATGTGTCTGAACTCTGAAGACACGTTTTATATTAGATTAATCTAATGTTGGTCAGGTCTACCTGGCGATTGCCGGAGGCCCATAGCCAAATGTGAAATGTATAATTAAATCACTTATGAGTTATGAGTCTTGCGACTAGGATATTTCAAACTATTTTTGAATTAATGTTAGTTTAGTTTATTAAGACTTTAAGAGGTTTATTCAATACATTTTGCATATCATACCAATATATGTTCATACTTCCATGCACAAAATTTAATTTAAAGTATGAAAAAACATTTTTTAAACTTATTAAGCAAACTTGATAAGCCAACCATGTCTGTAAGACGTATCCTTTAATTTGCCTGTTTGTGAAAGAAGATACATTATAAACAAAGATAAAATTGTTAATGTATTTCAGCAATGAATTTTTTAAACTACAACTATTCTGATAATGATTTAGGCATGGCGAAATGACATTTCGTCAGGATTTAGGTATATTATTAATATTTAAATTAATGTTATACCTATATGTTTATTGAATTTTTATCTACAATAAGTTATATTATTTTTTGTCACACCTGCACCGAAAGTTTGGTTTTCGATAGCGGTTGAAGCGTTTGAAAGCGTCCTTTTTCCGTCCAGCGGGCGGTAAAGTGGGAATCCTTAATAGTGACGGGCGGTAAAGTGGAAATTCCCAAAAGTGCCGGGCGCACATATCGTTATAGGCGTGACAAAGAATAGTATGTGTAGCTCGAGCGGGAAAGCCATTTCAGTCTTATGCGAAATGCGGCCCTCGAATACGGCTCGTGCCGCACACGTCACTGAAATGGCTTACTTCCCGCCCTTGCCACACAATATACTATTTTGTCACACCTACAGCGAAAGTTTAGTTTTCGACGACGGTTGAAGCGTTAGAAACGAACCTTTTTCCTTTCAACAGGCGGTAAAGTGGGAATCCCATAGTGCCGGGTGGTAAAGTGGAAATCTCTGAAAGTACCAGGCGGTAAATTGGAAATCCCCAAAAGTGCTGAGAATATCCCTTGCGCAACCAGACACTGTTCGATGAACGTAGAGACATGTCAAAAAATAGTATGTGTGGGTTGTGTGAGAAGTCAATTTCAGTCAAGGGTGAAATGCGGCCGTCGCAGCACACGTCGCCCGCGACGGAAATATCTCACTTCTCGATATTCCTATTTCCTTGCCACACAATATTGGTACAAGACCAATGGCCAGAGCTGCCGCGGTCTTTTATGTTTAATAGAAAAAATAAAAATAAAAATATTGGTACTAATGGTACTATTCTATTTTATGTGTAAATTGAAAATAAAAGTATGTAAAAAAATTCTAGTGGCTACTAATCAAAAAACCGGCCAAGTGCAAGTCGGACTCGCGCACGAAGAGTTCCGTACCATCATCAGCTATAAACATGTTGGCAACACTGCTTATATTATATATTTTAGGATTTTTAGTATATTTTGTTGTTATAGCATCAACAGAAATACATAATCTGTGAAAATTCAAACTTTCTAACTTTTATGGTTCATGAGACAGACGGACGGACAACTGAGTCTCAGTAATAGGGTCCCGTTTTACCGTACGGAACCCTAAAGGTAAAGACGGAAATAATTGCTCAAAAACAGTTTTGCTTAGTTCAAATCTATTTGGTTTTTTCATTGTAATTCATAAATTAAATTAAATTTTTCAAAAACTACCCATTCATATTAGAGTTTTCTAGGTCTGTTAACATTTTCAAAATTATTTTGCACCATTTACAGAAATATTCGAATTATTATAGTTTTTATTCAATAAATATTTTTTAAACATTTAAAACTAGATTCTTTAAAAGTTTCACTAGAAGCAAAGAATACATTAATGATAAAAATGCTTAACTTTAAAGCAGGAGCGGACTTGCTTTGGTAACGCGTGTGTGATAATCGCCTGGGGTGTTGAAAAATTATTTTTGGATCTTATTATTAGTCCAGCATTTGAATGAATTTCCGTTTCCCCATGGACAATTTTTTTTCCAGCCTGACCCTGCTTATAAGAACCCTCCGCCTCCAATATTGTTTACTATACAGGTTCCAGGTTATATGGAATATAATTTAAAATTACCAAGTAGAAATAATATTAAAGTTTCATAGTGCATATAGAAAACAATTTAATTTTTTAATATTTATAAACACATACTTTGTATTTACTCTACATTTTTTAATAAAATAATGAACTATAATATTATTAGGTAATGCAAATTGGTGCCTGGTACCTACCATAAAATATTTTTTGTATTCCAAACATTCTTGATTTATTTTATAAATAATTCTATTTTCATGATTTGTTCTATGAGTAGGTACTCAATATTTACTTACTAGATTAATTGTGTTTGAAATAAGTAACTCATTTAACTCTCTTCATTTTGTCTTATTTATTGAATCTACAGGAGTCATAAAATGCGTTAAAGTATCCAGCATGATATAAGGATAGGTATGGTATCTGTTTTAATTAGACAATATTACAGATGGTAGGTGCTGTACCTAATGATGTTTTCTTATGTTATAACTTATAACATTGTGTTAGTATTACAATATTATTATTTTTCATAAGGAATGTGGGTTATTGAAAAATTTACCACAATATACCAGTGGTGTGGTGCACACATATTTTCAATGGGAGGGGTTACATTTATCAATACCTGCGTATTGTAAAAAAAATACCAAGAGGGTGTGAACCCCCTGTCTTGTGGGTATGCCACTGTAATGTAGCCTATTATTAATATACATAGATGTAACAAATTCATCAATTTGTTGTATTATTTAAATTTGTATTAGTATTCAATAAGTGTTAAACAATAATTTTAAACTTCAGTTTCAAGTATTATCTTATAATGATTGAAGTGCATGATTATGATTTATGAATCATTTTTTTTCAATCTATTTTTAAGAAATTAATAATTATTTCTTTCTCATTAATTAATAGTTCTATACTTATAGAAATTCATTACCTATAGGTAATATATATTATGTTATATATCGGAGGGTTTTGGTTATATGTAATTTTATGGTCTTGTTGTAAACAGGTTTTTATGTTTAAATGTTTAAAACATAAAATGTGTAAACAGGGATATAAAATGCATTAAATATTTATGAAAAAAGTGAGTGGTAGTAAAGATGACAGCAATAAAACAAGTTAAAATGTTTTTAAATTGTTAAGTTATTATGATTTAAATACCCGATTGTAGTGCCGCCAGAGGCCACACACATTGTTGTTAAAATATAGCTGTTCAAAACTATTTTAATGTTATAATGTTATCTGGTCACGTAAATACATTAAATATTAGTCTATCTTTAATCGCAGTGATTTCCATTTCTTGTAATTTCAGTTGTTTGAAATAATTCTTATAATATTAATAAGGTAGGAGACGAATATAGTAAATAATGACTAACAGCTACTGGTCTATTGGTTTTAGGTCCAAGTGAATGAAATCCCATCAATAACTGTCGTAGACAGTGGCTGGATGCAAATATATAACATATCACCGAGATGTCGGTACTATTTATTTTCAGATTTCACGGGATACAGTCAAACAGAAAACAACATTTTGAGGTGCAAATATATTGTCATAAAATAATAAGGGATAGTTATCGTGGAAAGTCCATCATAAAACTTTTGTCGTTTCGAGGGGAGAGTAGATAGAACGAGTTGATAAGAATTAATTATCGTTACCTGCGATTGTGTACCGGTCCATGTAGTTTATCAAGTTGACAAAGCACAGTATAACGACCGTGATTTTCTGTCTGCCGGTGATCGGTGGACGACCACCTGCCGTCTCGTCATTCATTAGATGCTGTTGAGAATTGTTGTTGGGCGCCGAGGACGGTTCGGCGTTCATTATCTGCAGTACGTTTTTGACGGTGCTATTGCTATGGAGCACTTGAGTCGGCATCACATCGATGGAACTACTCCGATCCTACCAAGCCACTACGGTCGTCGCCGGGCAACAGATCCACAATTCCGTTCGGAAGTCATCGCAAGGGAGGAACGTCTTCCAGAGCCAACGGACGCGATGTGGATGACGACTGACGTCGAACTGGCGGCGATAAGTCGAGCTCGGGAACAAATGATGACGATTTGACAACCCATGCCTGTTTGTTGTGAAACGTGCAACGTCACCTGTGACCCGATTGCGGTTGACAGGCTGACCAGTGACCACCCTCTAATCGACGACTGTACTCGTTATCGTTATGTTGGATAATACTATTATATACATCGTGATATGAACATATGATATCGGTTGTTGGCGCCTTTTTTAACATTTTCGGTTCTCCTTAATTCTTAAATGACAATAGCATAACATGTAATATTGAAATTTGTAAATATTGAATATTATTTACTAGGTATTGTGTTATTTTTGTTTTGTGTATCGCTCAGCGCTCTGCCGCTCTGACCACATTCCTTATTCCTTGGCACGATTTTTTTCTTCTCAAATGTCTTTACGTTAAACATTACTGTGACGAATGAGAGATTACGTTTTCGTACGTCTTATAAATATTTTACACTTCAACTGCCTGCATAAAATATAAATTAGTAAATATAAACTGTCGTGATTTGGTTATTGAACTGTTACGCAAACGTCATATTGCATTTCACGTGATTGTATTTTGATACAGTTCTTAAAATGTTAAACGAATCTGAGTTAATAACACATTTCGATAGTATATATGGTTTTGCCGAAGTATTAGCTTTGAAAAGTGTGCGTGAAATTCAAATACCAGTATGTAGTTCTCTCACTCAACTAACCTCAACAGATTGCCTCAAATTGATGGTAAGTATTTTAATCAAATCATTATATAGTTGGAACGCTGATGAAGTCTATTTCGTACATTCGCACCCTCCAACTATTTACTTAGAGTAGGTATCTTATAATTAAATTACATTACTTGTGCCATGCTTACTTGCATGCACCATCATAATCATTTATGAATTAAACAATTTATTTATGTAGGTGGACATCATTTTCTCGGGTTAAACACATTTGTAAAAATTAATTTAATTTTCTTATGCCCGTATGCATATTATGTCTTATGTTACCCATGAATAGACTATGCATACGGACATCAACACTACAACATTATATTAACATACATACTTCCAATTATATTTGAAAGTACTAGACAATTGATGTATTAGCTATAAATTAATGTTATTATATTATAGAATTCAGCTATTCAAATAATTGGTTACATTATAGGTATTTTGTATATAATAAGTATTTTATTATTTGTAAATACGACAATAATTTAATTAATTAACACGTTGACTGCCACGCGGCCATAATAATATGTATCATTGGTGCTCCAAGCAAATTTTCTGGTGTCATTACAAATTTGTATATATACTATTGAATTGTATGTTTACTAAAAAATTCAAAAAAAATATTAAAAATATGTTTATTACATCAAAAAAATTGTAATTTTTCCAACTACGCCACGGCGCATTTTTCAGTTCATTATTGTAGCGCCATGGAAAAGCTAATAATATAAATCTAAATTCATTTACGGCAGCCCGCGGCCGTATGGCCTCCTAGGAATGATATGGTGCGGCAGCCGGCGGCCTAAAAATGATTGATACGTAATTATTTTTATGCGGCCGCATGGCAGTCAACGTGTTAAGAAGACACTGCATGTATTATTTATATAAGAGTGAATTGACCTATTATCAAATTTAAAGGTAACTAGGTAAGAAAATTATCTAGGGAATTATATAGGCTTGTATACATGTTAAGGAATAAAGGAATGAGCATTTTAATATTTATCAATAAAAGTATTCAAAATTCCCTAGGTAATATTCATGCCTTAACATTTGATGATAGGTATATAAACTTATTATTATACAGTATTTAATTTTATTAAACCTTACCAAAGTGTATACTGCTGTGTACATTTGTTAGACGAATACAACACATCTAAGCAGAACAATAGTGGTACATATTTGCACGAAAACAACTTTACTCTAAGTTGTTGTACTTATTTCAATTGGGTTATCCCATACTTTATTTATATAAAACTTGGATTATTAAATAACTATATTCATATTTAATTTTGTATTTTTACAGAAATATGAATTGGATAAATGGTCTAATCCTAACGAATCGTCTATGGAAAGAATACTTCTATTTTATTTAGTAACAGATTACATCAGCTGTGGATTATCTTCTCCAGAGTTTCATACTGTATTTTATAAAAACCTTTACACAGAAGCATCAAAGATAAAACTTTTGAATGATTTAGTAAAAATTTGGGATGGTTTATTCAAAAATTATAAAATTCCAAGTATGTTTATTTGAAAAAACATTTTTACATTAATTATTTATTGTAAATAATATTTATATTATATTCATTTTAGATATTGATTTTGTCAAAAATTTGATGGTCAGTTTGGAGCGCCTTTTTATTAAAATGACAATTTTAGTTCCTGATGATCTTATCAAGTTTAAAAGCAGCAAAGTTATAGCTAAAATTAATTATTACATTAAAGAGTATGAGCAAAATATTTCAGATGGTCATACATTAGGTAATAATTGTATGCAACAACCACTTACGTGTAACAAGAATAGAGTTTTAGGCATTGAAAACATAGTTCCAAAATCAGAAGTGAATTATTGCATCCAAAATCTTGTCCAACAAAATAAACAAAAAGGAGATGCCATGGATAAAAGTAAAAAATGTATGACTTTAAATAGTCCATCACAAAAAATGAATACGGAACTTCAAAAGCCTAATTCTGAAACTGAAGTTGATCACCATCTACCAAAGAAACCAAAATTAATGTCAAGTGATGTGCTAAATAGGAGTACCACGTCAGGTATATTAGTTATGAATTTATGATATTTAATTTATAATTGGACAGTATAATAATTAGCCAAACTTATTTATGAATAACAATTTATAACTACATGCATGTTTAAATATGATATATCTGATCAAAAACATTAAAAAGAAAAACTCCCTTAACATGTTTTATGAAAACATTAACTGTTTATTATATATACACATATCTATCGTCATCCAGGATATTGTATAAATGTGAACTAAGATAATATTAATGCAATTTGTGTGTTATCGTGAATAATAATTAAAAACAAATATTAAACTTTATAAACAGTTTTTTTTTTAGGATATAGACAAATTTAAAGGGTATTTAACATATTTATTTATTTTAGTATCTGTTTCTACACCGAAAAATAATTGTAATAATTTATTAATATCAAAAATATCAAGCTATTTCACTTAAAGAAAGATAATTTTATAATAACAAATTTATTACTTCTTGTTCCGAAATGAACTTTAACACATAATAACAAATTTATTACTTCTTGTTCTGAAATGAACTTTAACACATAATAACATAAATCACATAAAACCAACACACAAAAGATTAAGTAGATAATAAATCCTCTGGATTTTTATTTTTATGTTAGTTTAATATAAAAATGAAAAATGTATTAACATTTGAACACATTTTTTAAAATATTTATTTAGATGCTGACTGCAGTGTAATAGTGCCTCATGAACAAAGGAAGCTCAATGCATTTCAAGTAATGATGCTCAATGCTAAAAAACAAAAATCAAAATTGAAATAAATTACATATGTTACTTTTGTTTTTATATAACTAATATTTTAGTATATTTGAAGGTTTTTCATTTTTATTTTTTTGTTACTTAGATTGTAATTTTTATTAATATTATTTGTTCAATATGATAATTTAATCATTAGTAGTATGAATTATATATTTGATTAGGTATAAATGCAAGGTATACTGCTCAGTAAAATGTTTATTTTTCTAATACTCGTAAACTATGTATATAGTTGTTTTATGCTACAATGAATTGTATTATTTTTATTAAATAGTTTTCGACACAAAATATTTCTATTATGTAATTTTTAAAACTATCAAAATAAAATAAAATTCTATTTGTCAACTGTAATTGAATTTATTTATCATTCATATGGTTAAAATAACATAAAAAATATTTACAGTTGAGACACCCATAACTAATCTTTAGGTAGAAGCCTATAAATTACATCAGTTCTTCCTTTTAAATATCTTGATATCTTGGCTGAGTGAAAACTAACAATCACCAATAGATTTGAAATGTCAATAGTCAGTGTATGCTACTTAGAATTAGATAAAATATCGTCAAATATCGATTTGAAATACCTTGGGTTACGGTAGCAACTATCCTTAAAATAATGTATTTCCGAAGACCCACCTATATAAAAGGTACTTGGTTGAAAATATAAAAACTGGATTAAAATCATCCCCATGTTATTTCATGAAATCCATCACCAATATTTAATCAGTCTCATATGTTTCCAATTATTTCTATTCATTTTAGATGATGTCGAATTTGTCTAACACTTTATAGTAGAAAGTTCTATTAGACATGGTGGTTACTTGTCTCAAATATAATCTATAGGTAGTTAGTATTCTGTCCAGTACTTTTAAAAATAATCAGAAAAAAGCTGGAATTTCTATGCAAAACTGGTTTTTAGTAAATCAATTTTTTTTAGATTTATATTATGTTGGGTTATTAATAGTTATTTATTACAAAATTACTCATCGCGCAACATATATATTTTTAATTTATGTTATACTAAAATATAATGAGTCATTGTATAATAAATAATTATTAATCACCCACCAAACTACCAAATGTTATATTATGACGTGTAGCTGGTTGCTGAAGCCAAGGCTACATCATAACAAAATAAGGGCTGGCAATCTATCACATTTTTTAAAACTTATCTATAGATAAAATTAAGGAAATCTAAATATCACATACCTTAGACCAGAGGAGGAAAGTATACTAAAAATAATTGTTTTCATGTCTTATTGGTTAAGCCCATTTTGCCACAAAGGGCTGAGCAAGCCATGACTAGACCATAGTATAATAGGAAAAAAAATTGGCATGGGTAAAAGACTGCTACAGTAGTCCTTAAGGTTAAAAAATAAGTAGCTATTTCCAATATAATTAATATATATTATTTTCTTTCACACTTTTGGAATTAGTGTCCTAGACTTATAAATATAATTTTCTCAGTAGTCTTGATTTCTAGAGATAAGTTTCAAAAGTTACACACATAAATAAAACGAAAAATAAACATTTGTTTTGTAAAAAACTTTATTTGTATAATTTTCAACTACAATAATTGTTTGTATAAAAAATCAACAAACTATCTAAAATAAATCTACTGTCTTGTTACCAGTCTAATATTATCGCAGTCTAAAAGTTTTTTGGTGATTTCAAAATTCTAAACACATATGATATAGTAATAATAATAATAACAACAGAACAAATAATATATATACACACATATTATATATATAAATATAACAAAAAGATACAGATTAAATTTGTTTTTGGCTATTTAGATTTTAACATAAGAAACGATTAAATACAAATTATTGCTATTTTATTCCTTTAGTCTAATATTTTTGTACGTGATGGTTTAAATAACACAAATACGATATTACATTTTATACTTAACTGCTACTAGGAAATAGGAATTTTAACTTCACGAGCTCTGGTGTTATTACCTTTTGGGTACATCAACTAATATTATAAAGTAGTTAAAACGTTCAACTTTTATTACATTAATTAGTTAATAAAAATCATAAAATAAGTAGTTTATTTTATTTTATTCCAGTAGCTCGTGTTCTCAGTTCTATATGTATATTTATGTATGGATACAAAATTAGTAATAATTAATTACATACTCGCACAAACATATTAAAACTTTTCATGATTATAATAACTAAATATGAACTAACAAGAGACTAGATAAATGGCACTACAGTGTGTGTATATATATAAATATATAAATTAAGAATGTATAATGATGTATTATAATATCCAGTAACAAAACAGAAGAACTTATTAACTAATTAAACAATACAAAATAAAAATGAGCATCAAAATGACTACTTAAGTTGTCTTACAGCAATCGATAAACCACTGAAAGCGTTAGACAAACTTACTACATGTTTCGGAAATACTCAACTGGTGCATTCTTGTTGCTCTGTTGATGGTTTTACCAAGTCTAATGTTTCCGAACGTTTTTCAACCTCTGCTTTGAAATTTTCTAAGTCTTGTTGACTAAAAATAATTAATATAAATTTAAATAAAATATATATTATTTAACTTATAAAAATTAAATAAAGTGCTGTATAGTTATTAGGAAAAACAATAAATTTACAATGAAATAATTATTTATAGTTAATAATATAGGTAATGCCAGCAATTGTCAAGTCTCCACAGATAATAAATCTTTGTTTTTTTTTATTAATTAACCGGTGGCAACTTAGGCCATTGGGTAGTTTTTAACTGAGGGGGAGGGTACTGTAGGTTTAAACACGTGTGTTTGGTAATTTGGCAGAAATTTCTATCGGGTATCTGCTATGCTCGGGTGGGAGACAGCAGCCCCTCTCTCTAGACACCGTGACTGCCTGAAGAGAAATGCCGAACGTGGCCGGGTTTCGAACCGACGACAGTGCGCTTTGCAACCGATGCCTTAGTCCGCTCGGCCACTCCGTCTACAGTAATATATTGTTCCTATGTATTTTCAATATACTTGAGTTATTATAAGGATAATTTACGGGGACCACAAACCTTGTATTTCCATTTAAAACTAAATTTTATTAACATTTTTTGAAAAAAATCTTTATGCATATACTATTAGCGCCGGAGTTCTAATTATTTACAATTTCAACCAAAATTGTGTTGAAAATGTATGTTATATCTCAAAAATGATTGTAAAAAATCCCTGTTGCCATATGGCAACGCAAGAGCGTTAATGGGTTAAAATCAGTCTTAATTAATTTAAAAATCTCATTGGGTATAGTAATATCATAGTTTAAAAAATAGTGGAATGTTTTAAGATATTTGTTGAGTTAGAGCAAAACTTCTAAACTTGTACTACACTCACATCAAATTATTGTGGCAACGCTATTTTTTTCTTTTAATAGTTCCAATAAGAATTAAGTAAAAAGCTTACCCGATCTTATATACACATTTTTGACTTAAAAAAAAGTTATCAACATTTATAGAAAGAAGTGTTAGGATAACAATTAGATATCAAATATTTTAAATGTCCATACAAAGTTCAAAAAGTTTTAAAAATTATATATAATCTGGGACAAATGGCCCCCATAACTAATCATTAATCCCAATTTTCACTAGTCAAAGAAAAAAACTTATTAACAAGAAACATTAGAATCACATAAAAAGTTTTTATTGGTTTAAGGTTAGTACTAAGTTTACTAAATTATTAATAAATATTGATGAAATGTATGTATTTAAGATTAAATATTACCAACGTACCTAATTTGTACATACAGAATGCCATTGATGACATTGAGCATATCTAATACACTGCCCATAGATGGTGGGTGGATTTGTATAGGAGGTAATGTAGCACCAGTTTTGCCTGTATAGATTTCATTCATTTTTTTTTGTAATACTACTGCCTGATGTGTTAGGTGTTTCAAACAATCTGATGATTCCTGTGTTTTTTCATGTTTTTCACCAAACTTTAAAATAAGATATATTAATTTTAATTAATTGTTAATATTAATTCATTGATATATTAGTACCTGCTGTTTATAAATTGCATAAGTTTCCCTTTCATTGCTCAAAGCTGAACGAAAATCTCCCATACAACTTTGAGTGCGGGCAACTAGATGATAACTCACTGCTACTTTTAATGATTTAGGACCATAAAATTTAATATTTAAAGCTAATGCTTTCTCCAAAAATCTCAACGAAAGATCATATTCTTGAACTGCATGTAATATCAGACTAATATTACTCTATAAATATATGTATAAAAAAAATAGAGAATAAATAATATACACATTTTATAGAATATAAGTAAATAATTTGAGTTCAAATAATCTCAGATATACATACATCTAATAGAGCGATTTCAGGGTGGTTTTCTCCACAAATCAAAACAGCTAAGTAACGAGCTCGATACAATAACTTTAAAGCGGTAGTTATTTGATTATTTGCATAACAATACAAAGCTAAATGAATCTGAAATTAAATAAAACAACATTTATAATATCCAAGAAAATTTTTTTTTTCTAATATTACATATTCTGTTATGGTATAAGGATGATCAATTCCATTAACTCGTTCTGACATAAACACAGCTTTCTGTTGATATGCCATGGCTTCACCATAATCACCCATTATATAACTTAACCTAGCAAGCATTCGTAAACATTGAGCGATTTCAGGATGCATTGCACCATATACATTATTTAATAGAGTCAAAGCTTCCATAATTAAATCGTATCCTTCTTTCAAGAGCCCTTGTTGGATTTTTGTTTGGCCAGTAGTATAAAAATTAAAAGCATCGGTTGCCTGTAATAATCAACATCAATTATAAAAAGCAAATGGAACTAACCTATTTTATTTTACCCTAGGGTTGATGTGTTTAACAACGGGAAACATATTCACAATATCTTCTTCAAAGAATGTAAACCGATTTTTAGAATCAAATGAATATTCCCTCAACAGTATCTGAATTCCAGTTTTTAAACAAAATGACCTATTAAAAAAAAAGCAAATATTC